ATACAGGATGACCAAAACTAATTCCATGCCAGAACACAGCCAAAATCCCAACCGAAATGTATCCAGGTCAGCAGTCAAATCCAAGAGTGTCTGCAGCTGGTTGGCCATCACCCATTCAAGAGCCTTGTCCAGAAAGAGGATATTTGCCACTGGTCTATTGTGATATTCTGGGCCTGGAGAGGATTTCTTCGAAAGTGGATTCCCCACTGCCTGTTTCAGGTGGCATGGACTACTCCCTCTCATACGAGCTGATCCAGCCAGCTGTTCGCTCCTTGCTAACTGTGATTAGCCAAAAGGGACAAGGATTCAGTATGGACATTATTGTACAACCTGCCCAAGTACCTTGTCAACATACTTGGAATGTATCAACTGGATTTCATCCAAGAAATTTTGATCAGGCTGTGCTGTGGGTATCTTGTCTAATCCATTTGTGATAACTTTGGAGTCTAGGTCCTGGTGGATGCAAGAATTTTTCCTAGAAGTGCCTAGCAAATATATTGCAGGTCTTTCCCTCCACCACACCCACCACAAATATGTGAAATTTTGCATGCAAGCAGCATTTCAGATCAAAAGACTTCTGATATTCTTCCTCCACAAGAGTGGAATTGCTATGATTCATAAGAAATACATAGGCAGAACTTGTGCATCAGAACTGAAATCTTGCACTAACCAGGAGAGATCAAGAAGCAGCTTCTGACAGACCTCAAGGGTCTTACTGATGGAACTTCTGAGAGAGCATGTGTGGATTTTCACTTGTAAGATAATGTATTTATGTATGCATGCTTCCATCAAAATAGTAATTCTAAATATGCTGTTTTGTGCAGTTGATCTCTGGGTCAAACTGGACATTATCTCCATGCCCAGCCTTGGGTAATACCATAGTGGCTGTTCGTAGGATACAATTGGAGGGTAGGGCTAAGCATCTTTTTTCTCCCTGCAAATACGACAATGTTTTTTCACTGCAAGGCCAGAGGAACACTGACAGCTGCCAATTCCCCTCTTGTCAAGAGGGCTGTCTAGCTTTGCCTGAAGAAACTTTGAGTTGAGGAGACAGAAAGCCTGCCACTCATCAGCTGCAAAGTGGCTGGGTCAAGGAAGCAACTGGCCAATTGGCTATGGCAGTGGGAGAGTCCAGGAGGCAAAGAGCAACAGAACAGGTTAGCTGCAGTGCAGAGATGCTGAAGACGGAGGGGCAATTGAATATGAGAGAGAGGGAGCGAGCCAACGGGCAACCTACACCAGAGCAGAAAGGCCTATCCTAATCCAAGCACCAGATTAACCTTTCAGAATTTGTATGCCTGGTGACTTGGTAACCAGCTGAGGAGGTACATGGAGAGGATGATCAGAAGATGCCCCCAAGAATTGCTAGCCAGGAATTGCCAGCGTCCCTGTTTGACCAGGGAGGGGCAGGACAGAGGCCAAGAATGGGGCCTCCAAGTGGTGCTTCCTGATGGTGCCTAGAGCCAAAGTGGCCCCGACTTACAGAATAATGAATACCCCTGTGCTGGGCCCTGTATTATCTGTGGAATTTAACTATTAATTTGCCTCCTAAAGTCTCGCTTCTTGCTCACTGTGACCCTTTTTGCCTTGGTCAGCCTGAATACTTTTTCCATGATGATGGAGACCATAAGGACTTTAATAATTACTTAAGAGGAAATTCTTTTTTCCAGTAACCATTCCAGAGTAAAATAAAATAAAATAAATGCTTACTGCTGCCTGAGTCATTACACCGAAAACTCCTGTCAAATTATACTCTTGCACCATTACGCAAACTTATATTCAGTGGTAGTAAGCTATTTCCTCTGTTTATTTAAAACTGATTGAACTTGCCTACTTCTATGAGTTTCCAGCAAAGCTTTGCACATACGGGACAACAATTTATTCTCTTTGGCAGTGCTTCTCAAACTTTTTGAACTTCAGTCCCCCACCTGTTCTCCTTAGGGTAAAGTATAGACCCACTATCTAAAGTGTAGTGTGAGTGATTTGAACCTAGATTCACTCCCATGATGCTCAGACATTCAGTAAATTCTGAAGTATATGTTCACACCACTTCCATCACACTTTAGAGGGCAGGTCTGTCTTCACCGGTAGGGCCAAACTACATGTTCTTCTAATTGCCCATAGCAGTGCTTTGTGTGATTGGTTTATTTGCTTTAGAGTAAATAAAGTACAGCTCTAATTTGAACTGGAATGACTCTGATCTGGGAGGAATATTTAAGTCTCTCACTGCCACCAACTGTTTTCATCTTGAAATTCTTCATTCCCTTGTGGCAGGGAGGATAAAAAAGAAAAAGAAAAAAAACACCTCAGTTGATGTTCACAGTCAAATTTGACCCTTAAATGTTTATGCTGCAATAAATTCTTGCTTTGGTTTATGCCTCAATAAATTCTTGTTTAACACGGTGTCACAGTACTCCTTTGTTATTCACGAAAAAAATATGAGACTGGGTGAACGAAAATGTTACTTGTGGGAGGGGAGTCACTTTACGGAGACAGGTAGCCTCTTCCATTATTGCTATCTGAATAAACCAAAATAGTGCATGTAATGGTGTCATATGATATTGTAGTTGGTTCTCAGGAGACAGATTAATGGTCAGTAGCCAGTTCTGGAAGCCTAGTAAATGCTTGGTACCATTTGATAACTCTCCTAGAAGAAAGACTAGCTTATTAGATTTCTTACAAAATTCAGTAGCAGCAGACTGATAATAGTGCCAGGCCTATGCTGATAAATACTTTTCTTGCTTCCAGCTTGCTGGGAAAGCAATATGGCATTTGCTAAGAGAATTATTTGAAGATTGGCTCCTGAAATATTGTCTAATTGACTCTCAGTCAAAAAAGTTTGGAATTGCTTTACTTATAGAAGATAATTTGCTACCTGTGACTGAAGCTTGATACGGAGAAGAATTACTGAATTTCTAAAAGTTTGACCAAAGTTAGTAGGAAGGCTGTGCCAAATTGATACCAGCCATTCTTGGCTACCACCTCTAAATTAGCTACTTTGTTTCTGTCACATTTTAGGCTTGAGCTGAAATTTAGAGACTCCAAGAGGCCATCCCATAAAGCTCTGATCTGAGGTGCTTTGGGAAATTCAACATGGCTGCTGGAGTTTTTTTTTTTTTTAATGCCTACTTTCCTGTTTGCTGGGAGCTGTCATTATAGGCAGTTGAATATCTACAGAAACATGCATACACAATTACAGAGTCAAGAGGTCATTCATCCAGCAGCTTATTTACTCAAGAAATACAGGGCTTAAATACCCTTCAGAAGAGGCTGTGATTGGAATAGGTTTGTCCAGAAAAATACAGACTCCCTATGTGCTATTATATGCTACCCTGTATATGTGTGTGTGCACATTTTCTTTGGGCCACATAAAATCCAAAAATGTTTAAAAGCAGAACCAAAGGTTTGGTGGGCAACTGGAAATTAACAATAGAGTCCTATGCATGTTTAATTAAAATATGGTAGTATTCTTTTAACTCTTTTATGTTGTTTTATTGTGTGAGCCGTCTAGGGAGGCTGTTCTGACAGTTATAGGTGGCATATAAATATGAGAATAAATAAAAAATAAGTAAAAATATGACCCATCAGTTGCCATGAGACTGTGGAGAAATGCCCCTTTGTTAGGTAATGTTTACTTTTTTTGCCTTTGTGAGGCTACAATTTATCTGATAGGTCTCAGGTCTTTGTTTTTCTCAAAGGTCTGTGTAATGGCTGCTTGTGATGTGCTGGAGAGGGCAAGAGAAGCAATCACTTTAAATATTGTTAGATGGAGCCTGTATCAGGTACATAACTTTGGCTCTGGGTATTCTAGGAGGGTGGAAAAGAGTGGCTGGGGAAGAACAATTAAGGAGCTGACAATTGGTAGTTAGGTTGGTCAGGTAGGCTGTGAGCAATGAGAGAGGAAGTCTGCTGGTTGGTCTGTGGTGTTCTAGAAGGACTAGGAGAATACTAAGAAAGTGAATAGCCAAGATATTAAGTTATTCTTTCACTAAGGGGATAGTCAAGCATGGCTATTAAAGATAGGAAGTAGGTGGCTATATGGTGGCAGGAGCCAAGAGAAGGTTATACAAACAGAGTGATAAAACCCCAGATAATCTGTCCTACCAGCTGAAAATACAGGAGGAGGAGCTTTGGTTGCAGAGGAAGACTTGTGCTCCAAATCTAGAGCTGATTGCAAATGTATTTTGCTGGGGTGGAGGCTTAGAGAATTTTGCCTGAAATAAAAGATGTATTTAGAGGGTTATAGCAGCAGTTTGTCTCCAGTGTAGATTCCCATTTCATGCTTAAGCCTCTTCTACCAGATAGTAGAAGGTTTTAAAATAGTCTAGCAGAAGATGGAGATGGAGAGATGGATTGACTCCGTAAAGGAAGCCACAGCCTTGAATTTAGAACAGCTAAACAGGGTTGTCATGGATAAAACATTTTGGAGGGCTTTCATTCATAGGGTCGCCATAAGTTGGGAGACAGCTTGATGGCCCATAATGACAACAGCAGCAACAGAATTGTGGCAACAGAAAAGGATCAGCTTGTGGAACTCTGAATTACACTGAAGAGAGAGTGTCTTAGGCCCCGAAATATAAATAAGAAACTCCTTCATTGCCCAGTGAAGGAGCAGTTTGCCCATACATGGTAGCAATGCTGGGAAGTGGGCATTCCCTATAGAGGCTTACTCTCAGAGTAAATGTGCAAAAGATCAGCAATATGATTAGGAGGGGGGAAAGGAGTAGGGATTCAAGTGAACCATTGCTCTGTTGGGTCAATTTCATAGTCTTTTTATTAAAAAAAAATGGGGGGTGTTGAACCACTTTTTTTTTCAGTCCCAAAGGCCAGGAATCATGGTAGTTAAAACTATGAAAGGCAGCACACTGGGGAAACCTGATGCAAGTGGGAGTGGGGATTACTTGAGTAGAACTTGCTTCTGCACAATATGTACATATACAGGATGGACATGCATGTTGATATGCTTTGCTTATCAATGCATCATTTCTTTCCATTTACAGCTGAAGATCACTTATCTGGAATGTTGGAAGGTAAAATCAAAATCCGGGCACTTTGCAAATTTTGTGATGTTAAATCAACAAGCTGTAGAAATAAAGGACATTGCAACAGTCACTGCAACATTACTTCTATCTGTGTTGACAACAATGAAGTGTGTGCAGCTGTTTGGTAAGTTTCTTCCAACTACAATTGGTTCATACTGAATCTTTAAGTATATTTTAGTGAAAAAGACATTTCAGAGCTTTGAGACTTGCTTGCCCCAGGCATTCTGATAATAGTGCAAGGTTGTTGTCATTGTTTTTAAAAGGTAGGGTTTGAAAATGTTGTGCTGTTTAAATTCCTGTGCTTTCTGAAACCTGCTGTGGCCATGCCATATGACTGCAGCAACCCATAATAGTATTAGATTGGAAAGAGATTTGAGATTCCAGGATATGGATTACTGAAAAAGAAAAGCTTCATTTCCAGTCCATTTTAAATAATGCAGTAGTTAGGCACATATAATCCCTAATCTCATATTGCATAGTAGCAATTACTTTGTAATTTTAAAAAATGATACCAGTCCACAGATCCTATATTCACCTGAGGTTAGGTAAAACCATATGTGTAACTGCTAAAGTGAGATGCCTGAATCTGAGAATGTTAATCCTTTCTAGGAAGGCACAGAAGCCTTAGTTGAACTTCTGAAGAGCCACGATAATGTCTTAAAAGCTAAATTTATTTTAGTGGGTCACATGTTGTGCACATTTGACTTCCTTGATAATTGGGGTTTATCCTTATGCTTATTCTTATTTATCTCCCCCTATTCACCCACAGTGGTTCTTGAAGTGTTCTACTAGTACTAAAACTCTTGCAGACAAATCATCTCCCCCATATGCCAGTTTCATATCGTTTAGTCCTTAGTGGTGCCACTAGTTATTCTAGCATAAATTACAGAAAAATTGGAGTTAAGATACAGCAGGAGCTCATATTCATGGGGAGTAGTTTCCAGTCCCCCCTCCAGCAGATGCTAAAACCACAGATAGAAAAAAAAACACTACACAGGACTCCCCACAAACGTGAAAACCTGCAAACATTTCTAGGGAAAGCCACAAATATCTCTAGAGTATTTGCACACACTGAGAGACAAAACATGTGAGTGAGGCTGGCTAGTACTGAGAGAAAGAGCATGGCATTTCCAAGCAGTGTGTGTAGTTCCTTAGAGGTATTCACAATTTTCCACCTTTGTGGGTGTCCTGTGCCCCTAACCCCTGCAAATGGAGAAGGCAACCTCAGTTAAGTGAAACTGTGATAACTTAGGCGGTGGATATGGGTGGAGTCCTGCTGTATTTTAGAGATTTTGATGAAAAGAGCTAGTTTTACTTTGTATTCATTTATTTATTCTCTCTCTCTCTGATGCATGCATGCATGCACGCACACTCACACTATCTTACTTCTTAAGTTTATTCGTCTCTAAATTATCTATTTTTTTAGGAGAAAGAATGATGAAAACATAACTTTAGAAACTGTATGTCATGATCCTGCACTAGAGCTCCATGGGCACAAATTGGATGATTTTAAGTCAGATAAATGTTACATGAAAGAGAAGAAGGGAGATGGTGGATTGCTGTTTATGTGTTCCTGCAGTGAGGAAGAATGCAATGACAAACTTATTTTTTCAGAGGGTAAGTTTGTGTTGAGTTTTCATTTGTACATGTGTTCCCGTTTCATGTTTTTTTCCCCTTTCCCTTTGCACTGTGGCTGTCAGGAAAAAACACGGTTTTGTTCTTTAGGATTTCCTCTGATTTAGGATTTCCTGTTTTGAAAAATTCTGACCTTGGTTTGTCAGAAGGAAAAAGGCCAAAAATGTTCCAGTGGCAACTGCATCAAGAAGTCTTTTGTGTCATTTTCAAGTTCTGTAACTAACCTTACTATAATGAGGTGGTTTAATGTTATCTTTCATCAGGAGCAGCCTAACATGATCTGTACGAGAAGATGGGTGGTTCAGTCATATTCTTCATGGTCCTTCTGATGGGCTAAATGAGTGGGTGGTGAAGTTGTACTGCTGAATGCAAGTGAAGCTGGCAGGTGGGAGGCAGAGGAGAGGATGTATTGCAGGAGATTCCAGGGACAACAGATTACTAACAGATAGGCTGAAAAAAATGTTTTATTGCAAGATCTTGGATAATGTAGGACAGTAGCCTAGACTGCATTTAAATAGGTACATTTTCCATGCTATTTTCAGAATTCTAACTACTCCTACAGTTGATTACTAAAACTGTTTTGAAATCATTTTCATACCCTTGGAAATCTTATTACAAAAACTGTCAAATTACATTGGTGGTTGGATTAATACCAAATGGTACCATCCAAGACCTTCATTCTACCTAACCTAACTGCCTTACCATGCCCTCTAGCAAAGAGAATTGGCTGTGTCAGTAAGCATGTCACCGAGGACTAAGGGTTGTTTTAGTAGAGGCAGCTATGACCACCTGGTGGTAGTGGTGGGAAAACCAGGTACTATGTTACCTGGATTGCAAGCCTCACTCTTCTCTCATGGTGCAGGCTACAGCCTGTGCTATTTTTATTTATTTGTTTGTTTGTTTAAAGCTTTTATAGACCATCCCATTACTAGCCTCTTGGGACAGGTTACACCTATCACAGGTGGCATCACACAAGTGTTCTGGTAGGCAGTCCTTAGTACATGGGACAGCAAGGGAGAAAGGCTGGAGTTATATGGACCATGCTGGATCAGACCAAGGGTCCATCTAGTCCAGTATTACATTCACACAGTTGTCAACCAGCTGCCTCTGGGAAATGCACAAGTAGGACATGGGTGCAGTGGTCTTTTGAGGGTGCTTGAGACCCTTAGATGGTGGACAGTGGTGCAATTTGAGGAACAAGGATCAGGAGCAGGTGTGTTTCAGAAAACACAGAAAACGGAGGGGGGGTGCTATTGAGCACTTTAAAGGTAAGGACAAAAGTTTGTGCTGGTTCCTGGAGCATTCAGGAAGGCAGTGTAGGGGCATTGTGTAATCCAGGTATCATAAAATGCACGTGCCTTTGGCAGCAGAGTGCTGTGTAGCTGAGAAACCTGGGTGAGGCAAAAGAAGACCGGAGAGGAGAAGAGAGAAGTAGCCCCGGTCAGTTGAAAGGTAGATCTAAGAACAAGGATTAAAACTCAGCCTGTGATTGGGTTACATTCCTTCTGAAGACTCAGGTTCACAGTTTGGATTCAGTCACAAAGGAACGGGACAGAGAAAGCACTGTATTTTTCCAGTGCAGTAAAAGAAGCAGCAGCACAACTTGGCAAGCACAATGAATACGGGAGCCAAAGGAGAGAGGAGTCAAATATAAAATTGGAATTTGTGCCTGTTTTGCCAGTCGAATGGCAGTATTACTATGCACAAGGAAATTATTTGAGGAGCAGAGGGCCTGGGAAGGAAAGAGATGTAGTTCAGTCATGAACAACTGAGTTTGAGATTATGGTGATGAAACATCTGAGGAGAGATTTTCAACAGAATTTGAAAATTTAGGATATATTGCACAGTATATCACTGAAGATGTGTAACTTAGGTTGCTTTTTATTGTTTTGAATGATGTTAAGCATTGCAGTTCAGATACTAAATAAAAGGAGGGTGAGGAAATAATTTTCTTTTATGTAAGCAAGATTTAACATATTAAAAAAATCAACAGTATAAATTTCTTGAATGTCATGCTGTGCTTGGAGGTGGGTGGAAATATTTTAGCTGCATCTTTTAACCACAGCTGAGCTTGCATTTTCTACTGGAAATGGTTTTAAGGGAGGATTGCCAAGTTTACATGGATTTGTGTCAGCTCACTGCTTCAGATGTGTAAAACCCATATCTTTGCATAGCTCCCACCCCTGCCCAAAAAAGGACACTTGATGAGAATGCCTTCTCTTTGATCTTTATTTTTTTTAAATCACATTTTAATCTTGTCTGCCTATTTAATGATGTCCATTATCTCAGTGCTGGCAGGGCAGTCAAGTAGATAATGGTCTAGTTGCTGACTTTAATGACTTCATTCATGTCTTGTTTACTCACCTCTATAAAAAAATAAGAAGAGAGGTGCTTACAGAAGCTAATTAGAATTATGGTATTTTAAAACTTCCATGGCCTTTTATGCTGAGGCAATTCATAGGCTTTCCGAAACACAGAGGACTTTAGGCTAATTGATATAATTTGATTGAAATAAAGCCCTCTAGAGGTAATAGGTGCCTCCACTGTGGTCAGATTCTAGGCAAGAGGTTGCTTTCTAGCTTAGTATGTTTTGCAAAGCAACTTTAGTAATCCACTATATTCTAATAACAATTAAAAACCTCCTGTAAGGAGCATCAGTTGCCCCATATATATCCCCTGATGGTTTATATCATTTGAAGAGGAACTTCTCTTGGTCCTGCCTGGGAATATAATAGGAAATCCAAGTCAAGTCTTCTGGCTAGGATACTATCCCAAGCAAAGCTTGCCAAGAGCCAGTATTGGAGGGTAGTAAAAAGTTTGCTTCTTACTCCCCCGGGGACTTTGCCACATGAATATAGTATTGGACTACCGAGTTAATCTAATCATTGGATGTGATTCTTCTCTCTGCTGTTTTTTTTAACACTGATGTGCTGCTCTATCATTGCTAGTTCCTTTTACTAGTTTCGATTATATGATTTTTAATGTTGACCATTGCACAGATGTGATGTGGCGTTTTACCAGTTAACAGGAGTGTGATCGTGCCTACTCCTGTTTACCCATGAATGGATTCTGCATTGCTTTTCCCCACCCCTTCCCATCTGCACACACACGTGCATGTATACACATTAAGCCTTAATCTTTTGCTTTCTATGTGGACTAAGCTTGTGAGTACCTGTTCTGTTTTGTACAGAGTCTGCAGAGCATACCACTTGCTCACTCATAGCAGAGTGTGAATGGACTTTTGACCTGTTCAAAAAGATGGTCAACCAGTGCTGGTTGTCATAGGTGGTTTCTGCTTCATTTCACTTACAGTAATTTTGATAACATGTCTGTTATCAGATTTGCATTCTAAAAAAATCTGCATTCTAAAAAATCGGTATCCCATTATAGATTATATCTGATTTCATACAAAGCAATCAGATCAGACTTGTTTCTCCTTAAGCGGCACCAGCTGAGTACAGTCAGCATTTCAAGTTATTTCCTGCAACAACACTTACAAAACGAATGCATCAAAAGCTGCATTTTCATTTCTACTGAGAATGCTTTCTTCTGTAGAAGTGTCATCGACACAGTTACTCTCAAACGATAACCTGCAACTCTTCTTGGAAAGACTTCAAAGTAGATCATCTAATCCATCTCCAGCATAAGCAAAAAAAAAAAAAAAGGGACGTTGAATATCTCAAAATCACCCCAGTGCACACCTTTCCCATATTTCAGGGAACTTCTAATGAAAAAACCAGCACATGCACAGGGACTAGAGTGTTGGGTTGGGATTCAAGAGGTCTAGATTCTAGTCTCCCCTTGGCCAGGAGGCTCACGGGGTGTGGGCCAGTCACTGAACCTTACCTTAGCTTACAGGCTTGTTGTGAGGATAAAATGGAGAAAAGTATTATGTAAGCTACCTTGGGGTTCCTTGTAGGAAACTAGCAGGATATAAATATGGTAAATATAAAGATAGAATGCATAGCCTTTAATTTACAGGCAGTAAAGGTGTATTTGAAAATGCTAGTCCTGGGGTCAGCATGGGAAATTCAGCCTGTTCAGATTTGAAGGACAACTAGAAAAGGCCTGAACTGAAATATAATCAACAATCATGCCCAGCCTTCATTACCCCATATATATACATTTCAAAAGAAAATGGTAGTATTTTTAATTTTGGCTAGCAAAACAAAAAAGCCTCCAGAACCATTTTCTGTTGCATGTTGCACTGCTGTTTCACTTTCCTCTTCAGACTTTTCCCTTCTTACCACTCCTGCAGTGGTCCAGAGCACCCGCTGTGCTCTCCACCCTAACCTGGGGATGTTTAAAGTTTTGCTGGTGAGGCCACCTAGCACTTAGGATATCCAGGACCTCCAAAGAAAAATCAGCAACATCCCTCCAAATTTGGAGCCAGGGTATCTATGCCTCCAAAGCAGAGATTGGCTAGTTAAGACATGTTTAAGTGAAACCCAAAACTTCCTTTTGTAACACTTTCGCTTCATACACAACCAATGTGTTGTTATTCCCTTTTTATTGTTGTGAATTAGTGTTCCTGTTAAATGAAAACAGCCCCTTTGGGTTACTTGCCTGGTTAGCCATGGCAGGAAGACAAATGATTTTTACAGTATCAGACATGCGGTTTCCTGTCTGTGTTTAACTCTGAGCAGAACATCAGGGCCAGCTGGTCCACTGCTCCTCCAGACATCTAGATAATAGCCTGTAAATTTTTTGTCTTTTGGACTGCCATCCAGATGCACCCTTCCTGTGGCTCTTGTCCCATATATGTAGGCTGCCGCTGCTGCTGCCTGTTTAGTGGAGTGTGGATTTTTTGTATGTTTATGGAGATGTTCTTTCTGCCCTATTTAATTCAGCTAAGACTGGCCCATTTGTTTTGGCTATAGCTTACAGATGTCAGCAAAGTGAGTCACACTGACTGTGAACGCTTTTCGAATCAAGGTGCTAGTACACTTGCTGCTTTTGTCATCTTAATTTCTATTTACCAT